GGGGGGGGGGGGGTTTAGAGGGCCTTGAGCCCTCGTGGCGGACGCGTTCAGGGAAGTGGCATCGGAGGAGCCTCCGTAGTTCGCTCCATGATATTCCTTTGGAAGCTTTCTGGAACTGTATCCAATTCCAACACCGTCTTCCTGCAATCCTGTCCCATCCAAGCGCCACGTCGCAAAACCTGAAGCCTCGGCCCACCAGCCCAAATGCAGAACCGACATCCCGGACAAATCTAAACCTCTGGCAGTTCTGTGGTTTAGGTGTTAGGGCTTATAGAACTGCAGGCGATTGCAGAAGTGAAACAAGGCTTTGGGGGTGAAAAAACTTATTATAAACCTTTGATTCCAGCGCTTGCTGGAGGATCTCTGGTTCGTTGGTGTCCAGGTCGGTGATCAAGAATACCCGAGTACCCAATTGAAGTTACTTATAGCTAGGCTTGTATACATGGGTAGTTGTCAAANNCCGTATTTTAATAAGGACCCAAAAAGGGACCATAATTTTGACAACCACCCACATGATTATATCGCGGCAGTAGCCTGCGCATGGGTAGCTGGGATTCCAGGGATAGTTTAAGATAATTGCTGGACACTACGAATGTGATCAGCGTTGCCATGTCCTTTACTGTGAGTGATGCTTGGCTCTTGCGAAGAATTCGGGGCTTGAAAGCAGATGACCTATCCAGACCCTCCACCAACCACATCTATCTGCAGCATTCCTTCTTGGAGCTCGTATCTTGCAGTATTTGAGTAGCGACAACGCTGGTCTCGCCGAATTCGGCTTATAGAGTTCGCGCTCAGACCCGACCGAAACTTTGATATGTCAGATCGGGACCTGGCGAATGTGTAATTAATGTGTGATGATATTTCTTTTGACTATATGGGTTGGCTGTACATGTTTCGGCCTCTACAGTATAGATTAAGCACTGGACGCAGACGCGGAGACCGCCTCATGTCCAATACAGATCGCACAGACATCACAATCACGTCGCCATCGGCCACCCTACAAGCCATAAGAAGTCGGCTTGCTAAGACAATAGCAGGTTTTTCGCTGCCAGCAATATAGCAGTTTAGTTGGAGCACTATTTTCCTGATGCCCGTACGGTGCAGCAGAAATAAAGAATAAGCCTTAAACCCTAAAGACCCTAAACCCTAAACCCCTATAAACCCCTAAAGCCTAAACCAACCGACCAACCTAAAGACCCTATAAATCCTCAAAAAAAGAGAAGACCCTATAAATTCCCTTAAAAGAGCACCGGCGCTCAAAATCCGAAAAATCTCGGTCCAACTCTTCGGCTGCGGAAGGTCCAAGAGAAGCAGCGGAAAGAGCTGAAGCTCGAGAAGCTCGAGGCGCCTTAAGTTTTTGGGGTTTAGGGTTTAGGGTTTAGGGTAGAGGGTATAGGGTATAGGGTTTAGGGTTTAGGCAGAATCTGCCCGATTTCGATCACAAGCATAACCATACCTATAGGGTCACACCCTACCCCTTCTTTTAAGGTACCTAGTTTTATGGTTAGGAACTGCTATATAAAAAAGTTGGTACCCTAAAAAGGGGTAGGGTATGACCCTATAGGTACAGTTTGATAGACTTTGCCATAAGCCCATCAATCCGCCCCAACTAAAAAGCCCTAAATCCTATAAACCTCATGGCTCCGGCGCAGCGTCCGTCAGCTCAAGCTCTTCGCTCCTCTCAGCTCAACCTTGCTCCCATCCCGATCCGTCCCGTAATGGCTCCCCAGACAAGCCAGCTCCTGCGATGCACTCGCATGTGCAGATACGGCGAAAGTTGCAGAGACCGCGCCGACTGCTCCTTTGCCCACTCACCCGCAGAGTTGCAAGCTACTCCAGTTCTCGAGAAAACGCAGCTTTGCACGAAGTTCAAGCGGCATGGTCAATGCCCGCGTGGCGAGAACTGCCAGTTTGCACATGGGCCAAGTGAGCTTCGCAAAGTCCCTCTTGGTGGTTTGGGCCGTAGTGGCCGTGGCTTTCGGGGGCCTCCACCCAGGGCTCCAGCGCCAAAGGCAATGGTGCCCCAAAGTCCCCCTTCTACGCCGCAAAGCCGCACGGGCTCCAAGGACTCCAATGAAGCTGAGCCTGACAGGGAGGTCTGGCAAGTTCTCCGAGTCAAGAACACCTTTATTGAGTTGATGGAGGAGCCATCAGCAAGGTCCCGCGCTCGCCGCTGCTCAGAGCCAACGCTGTGGTAAGGGCCACGGCAGGTTGACCTCTGCCAGATGCGACAGACCGTGGGAACAGAGCTGACCGACGCTGACAGTCCAGAGAATTATCAATGAGGAAGTCGAGAGTTTCCATGCTGAACTCCATCAGTTTCGACCTATAGTCTCCATTGTAGTTCCTCTTGGGGGATACCTTATAGAATCCTTAATATATAATTAATGGAGACTATAGGGAGGATGACAAAAACCTGCAAGGAAACCAGTTCCGGCCCCTCACTTTGCACGAGCTCTCCATGTTCCAGGCTTGAGGAAGCTCAAGAGAGCAGCAACGACTCCAGGCTTAAGGAAGCGGGAGATTTTTCTAGAGAGCAGCCAAGGAAGGCATTGCCTCTGACTTCTGACCTCTCCCATGGTTCCCTCGGTTTTTGTGCGCCACAGCTGTGCTTTTCCTAATCGAGGGAAGTTGACCGCAAGAGCTGCTTCGGTGCTCCAGCAACTCTTGAGATCTAGCTGACTCGGATCAGAAGCTTCTCATGTTGGCTTTTCCCCATGTGGAGAGTAAACTTCTCATTCTGGTGAGAAGATGATTTTGCGCCATCCCCAGTTTCTGCTTCAGCCCTCTGAGACTTCCACGTGACAACTGCGAAACGTTTTTCCCGAGGGCGGAGCTGTCAAGGCTAGTTCGTGTACAGTCGAACCGACATAGCCTTGCAAAACGATGTGTGAAGCCACCAAGCACGGCCAGTCCGTGTACAGTCGGACAAGCGCTATGGCAAAAGAACTAGGGGTGCAAGTTATGCAAGCCCATGGCATGCAGAGCACTATACGTTGAAGTGGCCGCTGCCCGCACTTATACATATTGATGTAACTCTACCAGGGGTGCTTGCTTGTGTATTGGCTTGATTGCTGTGGGCTCAGCGGAGGGTGGGAGGGGAGGGAGGGAGGGAGGGAAACGTGGCCATTGATATGGTATGTTGAAGAGTATGGGCTTCTGTAGCGTTGAAGACCCCCAAAACCCTACTCTTATTATTCAGTCTAAACCCTAAATCCTAAACCCTAAACCCCATTCTAATTATTAAAGCCCCGATACTAGCCAGGCCGAGGATGGTTTGGTTCGCACGCTGAATGTGGCGCAGCTGGCGGACAATCGGGCGCTGATGCAGATGGTAGAGAAGGCCCTATATGAGATTTCGCAGAATTACACGGGCCTTGATATTTTGGAGCGGGGTTTTGGGTTTTGT